TTTCGTCGCCGTGTGCTCGAGCCATCAATTACTCTGAGTTGGAAGCAAACTTCCGCAGGTTGAAGCCTGCCTCAGCGAGACGCACCTTCGATTTTACGTAGAAGGTGTGCGCTGCTTCTTCATCGGTATCACCACCGGCGACATCGTCCACGTACATTGACTTAATGAGCTGTTCGACGTGTTGCGGATCGTCGGCAGCATACTGATCCATGTGGTGGTGTATGGTGGCATTCAGGAAGAATGGGCTGGATGACACACCGAATACCACTCTGGTGAAGCGGTATGTCAAGGTGTTGGGATGATCGCTGTTGTCAACCCATAAAAATCGCAGGACGTCTCTGTCTTCCTTGGCAATGCCGACCATCAGGAATGCCTTTTCAATGTCCGCCGTCACCGCGATCTTTTTAACCTGGAAACGCATCAGAATATCTGGAATGTGCTCCATGAGAGGAGGCCCGGTGTGGAGTCACTCATTGAGGATGGCGCGGTGCCCGCCTTGGCCGAGGCGTCATACACCACACGGACTTTCGTGGTGCTCTTGTCCTCTCGGATCACGGGATGGTGTGGCAGATAATGTGTATTGCCCGGCACATCGCTCTCGGTTGATGGCACAAGCTCCACAATCCCAAGCTCCAGCTGCTGCTTCATCACTGCGTCATACTCCTTTCGTACTTGCGGTAGCCGCCGTAGCTTCTTCAGGGTAGACTGTAGTCGGCGTTCACACAGCTGGTGGTTGTCCGGTAGCATCCGGTGCATCTCCCTCCATGGAAGATTGACCACGTACCGGCGTCCATCATGCTGGATGGTGTGCAGAAACGTCTCCATCACCTCGGGCTCGTTGGTCGTTATTCCAAGGGACTCCAAGGTCCAGAACCTTTGGACAGCATGGAGAAGCTGCTTATCCACGTCGACCTCCGAGAGGACAATGTTGCAGCTAGCATGTGAGGCTGGGTGGACCATGGTGTGGCTGGACGAGGGAGTGGCTGATGGCCCTGACAGGACCCAACCGAGCCGTGTGCCTATCGCTGTCGGCCCATCCTCATTCCGCCGCACATCACCGGTGGCAATCTTCCAGTAAAAGTCTGCACCGATGAGGACGTCAATCTGGATGGTACCTGCGCTGTCATCCGCCAGGGGTAAACCCTCGAGCGCCGCGTGCTGCTGGGCGGCTAGATGCGGATGCTGGTTGTGGACGGGTGGGCACATAGTGTTGGATACAACACAGTCCAAGTCGATCACCCCGCCGTCGATACATTGAACGCGGAGACGGACGATCTGCACACAGCTGGCAGCACTGCCCTCATGCGAACCAAACGGATTCAGGCAGATCCACTCATCCTGAAGGGTTGCTAGACCCAGCTGCTTGGTCACATCGTACGCCACGAAGGATCTCTGGCTACCGCCGTCCATAACGACTTTGACCGTGGCGGTGCGGGTCGGGTCTGCTGGGGAGCAGACTGTAGCGTTAGCCGTCTGGAGCAGCACGGCTCCACCATTGCCGACCGTGCCCACAGCTGCGGATGTGCCCGCTTCAGTCGAGAGGTCCTTGGCTGGCGACGCACGTCGATGACCGGACTTGGTGGCCGTGCCGAACGACTTGCCCTTGCCAGCAAGCGCCAGCGTGCCATCGCAGATGCTGACATGATGTCGCCGGCTGCACTTGGCGCACCTTAACGTTGACTGGCAGTTGCGGGCCATGTGATGCTGCTTGAGGCACACGAAGCAACGCCCGTCCTGTTTCACTATTTCCTTCCTTCTCGCGAGTGAAGTAATAACGGAGCACTGTGCGGCAGCGTGATCCTGAGAGCAGTAAGCACAAGGGTTGGTGGACAACACTGCTAACGCAGACGCCGTAGCTGGTCCGAACCTGGAAGGCTTGGCGGATGGCGGTGACCGTGTGCCCAGTGTTGTGTTGGCGATACTGTGCAGCGTCTCATCCGCCTCTGTGCGGAAGTCTGCTTCGCGCATCACCCACTGCTGTAGGTGGGGTACGGACTCTTCACCCCCTGTGTCACATCGCCATCTGTTATAGTTGGTCAGCAACTCCGGGCCAAATTTCTGCTGCAATTGGGTGCAGAATGTCCCTGTGGTCAATTCGCCATGTCGCCCAACATCCTGCAGGTTTATGATTGCGACTTGCAGCAAGTCAGCAAATCACTCAAACTCTGCGGCAGTGCCCCGATCCCGAATGAGCGTAAACTGCGAGAGTGTGGTCATGTGGACGGCCGTCTTACGACGGAGGCCACCGTACTTGTGCTCCAGGCGACTTATCGCGGCTGAGTACGCGGACGCTGAGTAGCCAAATGCCTCAATGCTCTTCAGCGGCGGGCCCGTGAGGCACTGGCGGAGTTGAAGGAGCTTCAACTCGGCTGATATTGGCTGCTGATCAACGCACACCATGAATGCCGTACGTCAGGTGTCGTACGCCTTCTTGTCGCCACTGAAAGTTGGGATGGTGATCTTCTTCAGATCGCGATAGACATCAGATGGTGCCGCGCCGTGTGGACTTTGACCTGAGGAACTGTCAGGTGAGGTAGGCAGTGCAGGTGGCGACAATTGCGGCGTAACGGGTAAACGCGCTGACTGCGATGACAGCGTCGGGTTTTGACTGTATGGTCGGAAGCCGCTCCGAGTCTGGTCTGGCGTCGACAATGCATACGACGGTTGCTGTGGCGCTGCGTGCGGCGGCAGCTGTGGCGCTGGGTGCGACGGGTGCTGCGTGCGACGGCTGCTGCGGCGCTGCGTGCGACGGCTGCTGCAGCGCTGCGTGCGACGGCTGCTGCGGCGCTGCGTGCGGCGGCTGCTGCGGCGCTGCGTGCGGCGGCAGCTGCAGCGGCTGCTGTGCGGAACTTGAAAACGCTGTATACAGCGGCTGCTGTGCGGAACTTAAAAACGCTGTGTACAGCGGCTGCTGCGGCGCTGCGTGCGGCGGCTGCTGTACGGAACTTGAAAATACTGTGGACAGCTGCTGCTGTGTGGCTTGTGTCGACGATTGTCGTGGCACCGAGTACGACGGCTGCTGCAGAGAACTACTGGAAAACGCTGTGTACAGAGGCTGCTGCACCTGCGTTGACGACTGCTGTGGCGCCGAGTAGGACGGCTGCTGCACAGAACTACTTGAAAACGCTGTGTACAGAGGCTGCTGCACCTGCGTTGACGACTCGTGTGGCGCCGAGTAGGACGGCTGCTGCACAGAACTACCGGTACCTGACAACGCTGTGTACAGCGGCTGCTGCCTGACCTGTGTTGACGACTGTCGTGGCGCCGAGTAGGCCGGCTGCGGCACAGAGCTCTGTGTACAGCGGCTGCTGCGGAGCCGGAGAGCTCGAAGACGCCGTGTACGATGGCTGCGGCCGAGAGTTCAAAAACTTCGTGCATGGCGGCTGCTGCGAAGCCAGAGAGTTCGAAGACGCCGTGTACGATGGCTGCGGCCGAGAGTTCAAAAACTCCGTGCATGGCGGCTGCTGCGAAGCCAGAGAGTTTGAAGACGCCGTGTACGATGGCTGCGGCCGAGAGTTCAAAAACTCCGTGCATGGCGGCTGCTGCGAAGCCAGAGAGTTCGAAGACGCCGTATACGACGGCTGCGCGTGCGGCCGAGAGTTCGAAAACTCCGTGCACGGCGGCTGCTGCGAAGCCAGAGAGTTCAAAAACTCTGCGTACGACTGCTGCGTCGGGGAGTTCGAAAACTCCGTGCAAGGCGGCTGAGCCGGCGATGTTGACCTCGGATTTGAAAGGCTCTCTGTAGCTGTGACCATCAGCCCACGTGAAGGCTTGACCTCGAGGTCATCAGTGAGCGCCGCATATGGGTCCCCGTTGACATGTATGTCGGGCGCCGGCGGACCTTGGTCAACGCCGTACTCATGGTACTCAAACGACGGGACGGCCTGGCCCTGCGTAGGTCTACTTGTACTGGACAGAGCAGCAGCTGCTGTAGGTGCACCCAAAGACACACTGTCATTCGCACTACCTGTGGTGCTACTCTGCATATGTGTAGATTCTACGTGTGTGGATTCCTGTGGCAACTGATCCTGTGCCGCTCGCACTGTCCTCGCCGCAGACACAGACTCCAAATACTCTCGTACTCGATCAGGGGGGTTGCGTGAGTACCGCACACCCGTCGCCTCGCTGGTGCATGTACTATTGTAACGGCTCATGCTAGCCAAAACTGTACTCGCACGAGTAACAGCATCCGTATACTAGTGTTCCAGTTCATCAGCATCCTTTCAGAGACCATCAAGAAACACACTGTCCTGACTGGTACTACATGCACTGGATAACTCGGTGATAATCTCCATCATGGCGTTCACGCCGTTCTCAAGTAAAACAAGATTGTACTTGATCTTGTCTTTATCTACGTCTGGTTCGTCGATGGCGACGAGTAGTCCGCGGCAAAGGTTCGTGAAGGTTGCCTTCGCCTTCGCCTTGGCGAGCTTCCGCTTCACTACGTCAGCCATCGTCTTAGAGGCTCGAAGGACCAATTTACAAGTTCTAGAATCAGTCTCGTAGATTCATTGTAAGGAAAAAATATCTCTCTCTTGTCTCGATGGAGAAAACTCAAAGAACCAAAAGGCAGTGAAGCAAGCCGCCAGCAAATCAAGCTACCGTACGCTTTCCAACGGCGAAAGGCGATAGTGCGGGAAAACACGAAGGTACAAGGAGAAGACTGTAAGCTCAGGTAAATGCGAAAGAGGAGTTGGTGATAATCAAGACTGGAGAAAGGAAGATCAAAAGAGAGAGAGATAGAGTGAGAGAGAGAGAGAGCTAGAGAACGAGGCTGTCTGGTGATCGTATGCAATATCTCACAGTGAAAGGCATCAATTTCATCATGCATTTCCATATAAGGAGCTCTCCACATATTGCATACATGTAATCTACATGGAGTTACTGGACTATCTGACTACGCTACAATGGTGACTACGCTACAATGGTGCAGAATTCCAGGGGGTTTGCCTCTGAATCTTATTTCTTTCTCTCTCTCCCCCCCCCCCCCCTCTCTTCAGCTAAATGAAGCCACCCCATGGATTGATGGTGGCCTGTTCTATGGACCAAACAAGGCCTGGGCAGATGCCCTCAGAAGCTTTACTAATGGCACTCTTGCATGTTCCGACTCGACGTGTCGTTTTCCTGCCAAAAACAAAGTGGGTCTGCCGTTTGCCAACCCGCCACCTCCGGCTGACCATGTACTGAAGTCATCGTCGCGTTTCTTCAGTAAGTGCCATCCATTTCCTCTGACTCTTAGCATGGGACTGGAATATCCAATGCTATCATTGGGAGGCATGGGTTCGAGACTTCGAATACTGAGCATTCATAATGGTAGCGTTCACGATACCGGCACCCAGCCACACCATGCATGCCTGTAGTTTGTAGATTGTGAGCTGCAAATGATGGCGATGCTTGACCAGGTTTGCGTCACATGCAGTTACAGCCATCTCTTTTTAACCTAGCACTTTACCGAAGGTTTACCTGATGATTGCGTGAGCATGAAGCTTGAAGTAGCAGCAAACAGGCCTTGATTGTCCTTGTTGTTCTGTTGTGTAACCTGGCACTATATACAGCCAACACCCTCCACCACCAACACCCTCCATCACCAGCACCCTCCACCACCAGCACCCTCCACCACCAGCACCCTCCACCACCAGCACCCTCCACCACCAGCACCCTCCACCACCAGCACCCTCCACCACCAGCACCCTCCACCACCAACACCCTCCATCACCAGCACCCTCCACCACCAGCACCCTCCACCACCAGCCATATTTTCAGCAACCATGATGTCCTCTTCATGCACATTGCAGCCGTAAATCAGATTTTGTAATCCAGCACCCTCCCTAATCAAGCAGACATCCTGTAGCACATATGCTTGTGGATTATAACGGGATCAAAGGGACCACTGTAGTTGCTTGCTCTGGCTGACCCTGGGAATGGCTTGCTCTGGCTGACCCTGGGAATGGCTTGCTCTCGCTGACCCTGGGAATGGCTTGCTCTGGCTGACCCTGGGAATGGCTTGCTCTGGCTGACCCTGGGAGTGGCTTGCTCTGGCTGACCCTGAGAATGGCTTGCTCTCGCTGACCCTGGGAATGGCTTGCTCTTGCTGACCCTGGGAATGGCTTGCTCTGGGAATGGCTCCACTTCGGATGTTATGTGGGATTGGTGCATTCACTTCCTTCATACATTCTTGGTTTTTTTTAAGCAATTCATCTTACTGTTTCCTTTTTGGCCAACGTACGCACAGCTGAGATATATATGTGACCAGTTTCTTGCAGTGACCAAGAACTACTGTCGTGTGTGTGTGTGTGTGTGTGTGTGTGTGCGTGTGTGTATGTATGTATGTGTGTGCGTGTGTGTGCGTGCGTGCATGTGTGTGCGTGCGTGCATGCATGTGAGTGTGTGTTTGCGTGCGCATGTGTGGCATGCGTACATTTGTGTGTATGTGTACTGCTGTATTCTGCTCATTGTTGCTGACACAGAGATTGGCAATCCCCGTGGCAATGAGAATCCGATGTTGCTGAGTCTGGGTATTACCTGGTTCCGC